TTCTGACCTTCTGCCTTGGGAGATAGAATATGGCAGCATAGTCCATGCCGCCAGGGCTCTCTGCTCAGAAGCAAAGACACTTCTCACCTCTCCCACCAGGGGTACAGAGCAGCAAAAATGCCCCCTCACACCCCCAGACCCCATGTACCCCACAGAGTGGACACATCACAGTGCTGATTCCTTTTTATTTTTAGTCTCCCTTATTGGGTGCTCTGTATTCCAACTGTAATACTTGCTAATCCTAAAACCTCAAGAAAGTCATTGAACCACTGTGAGCCTCCATTTCTTCATCTTTAAACATCAATAATAATAACAACAACTTCCTAATACTATTATTATTAGGCTACAATGAGATAATAGACATAAGGCTTGTTGGGCCCAATGCATAGCACCCCCTAAGCCCCTAATAACTCTTGGCCTGGAGTAAGGCTATGCTCTGTGCTCAGCACTTACACACATTATCACGTCTAATCCTTACCATAACACCATGAGGGAAGTAGGGACTATGAGAAAACTGGGGCACAGAGTGATAAAGTGAATTGCCCAAAGACACACAGCTAATAAATGAGTGAATCTGGGACATCAAACCAGGTCTTTTGATGCCAGAATTCAGATTTGTAATCACTTCACTCCATTGCCCAAGGTCACTTTAGCTGTTATTAAATGATGAAAGTGGGACTAGACACCAGGTCAACTCTCAGTTCCTCAGCAGACCAAATGCCTGGGCCGAGTGACCAAAGGACCCCCTGGGCAAAAACTTCCATTTGTCCCTGACCTCCACCTTCCTCAGGACCCTGATCGCATTCTGTTTCTCCTGTAATTTCCTTCAAAGCCAACACTGAGCCTGCTGCTGCATTTTTTTTTAAATCTCAGTCCAGTGCAAGTAGAAGTATGCAAGCTTTGGAACCAGACAACAAGGCTTGGAATACCACTGCTGCTTGCTCACTGAATGGCCTTAGCCATGTCATGGAACCTCTCTGAACTTCAGCTTCTTCATTTGGAAAATAGGGATGGCTCCTCCCTTGCATTGTTGTGATTTGAGTCAATACACACAGAGTACCTAGCACTAAATCAGCAGTCTCTGAAAAGGACTTTGCTGTAATCAGCACCCTCTCCCAGAGCTTGCTTAGTCTATTAAGTCACCCTTCATTCATCCATAGCACCTGCAGTGGCACCTCACACCGAGAGGACAATCCTGTATGTGTCTAGCTGAATTGAAAATCAGAGAGACCTAGAGAGGGAGAGCTATGTAAAACTGCATAAGCACAGAGGGGAGAGTTCCTCCCACCACCACCCTAAGCAGATCCCCGAATCTCCCATTGCCTCAGTTTCCCACAGGTCAAATCCAGCTTCTCCTGAGGGCTCACAAAAATGGAAGCTTGCAAGATCAGAGGTTTCAGATGTAATAAGATGGATAATGAAAAAATCCTTCTTTCCCAAGCTTCAAGTGAGTCAGAGCTCTGTGCTTGGCTCTGCCCCAGGGAATACCGAGAAAATGAAATATCGTCTGTATCCTCATGACACCTGAACAAATGGTCAATTCCATGGGTCAAAAATCAGCCAGAGGGGTTAGGAACCACCTCCAGGGAAGGGAGGGGAAGAGCAGCAAGGCAATGACCATTAGCAAAGGTTGCTTCGTGGGATTCTATTAAGCAGCTGCAGCGCCTGTCTGTTTTTATGCCGGGATGTTTGTTTTGCCTCTGCAAAAGATACCAGTAAATGATAATATGGCTTAAATATGCAATAATTTTGAACTTCTCAATCCAGCTTGATAATTTCTGACACCTGAATCAAGATGAAAATTCTCATCTAGGAAAAAAACTACTCTGAATCTCAGCTGAGCTCACTGTTTTGCTCCTGGCCCTTTGCCACCAGAGGAAAATGTCTGATAGTCTTGAGTCTTTGCATTGCAGCTGAGTATTGTGGACATGTAGATATGGCCTCTGTGAATTCAATGGTGTGCTGATGCCTGTTTGGTAGCTGGTGAAACTAATGCCCAGGGAAGTGGGGAACAGGCAACAACAATCAAAATGTGGACTTAGAACTTGCTTTTCCTACTGTCCCCTCCCTGCATCCCCTCCCTGCATCCCCGTCTTTGTGTTAATCACCAGCTTTGTGCCAGTTTATTGGCATTCTCTCTCTCTTCCCACTTCTTTGGGGGAGTAAACCAGTTCAAGAGAAGCTCCATCAGCCTAGACTTCAATAAACAAGGTAATGGTAGGGATGGTGTGGTTGATGCCCCACTCCTACCCCCTGTACAAGAGGCGGGAGAGAAAGGGCACTGGTATTGCGTTCAGGATCACATTATCCAGCAAGAGAAGCTGATCACCTGGAACTAGGGCATCTCAAAAGATCACTGGGCCAGCCTCTATCTCCAGCCAGATTAATACATGACCCAGGACTGGTAGCAATCTCTCCTCTTCACAACAACCCTGGCAGATGGCTGCCCAAGTCATCCCAGTCTCCCTCTTCACCATGTCAGTCAGGAGAGGCTGTCTCGGGTGGATGCCTCCACAGCAGCAGCAGGAGCTCCCTTCTGTGGGCCAGGGAAACCGTTTGGTAAGTGCCTGTGCCCCGAGCAGCTCTGGCAGCTTGCCAATTCACTTTGCCCCCTTTACCACCTCCCAAGTGGGAAATCAGACAAGCTGGAGTTCTGGGAGCTCTGGAAGCTCTAAATCACTCCAATCCTATGAATCTCTGATTTTGAATACTCACCTCCAACTTGGGCCAATTTAATTGAAATAGAAAAGCAATAGAGAAATCTGTTCTCAGGGTTGTCTCCACCACACATTTCTTAACCTCATGTAAAAATCCTTGAAATTGTAAAAATCATGCAGTCTGGGAGTCTGGGCATTTTGGCAGGAGAAGATTAAAACCACCTGCCCCCACCTCCAAAAAGTAAGAGCTAAAGAGCCTACATCTGGGAAGCCTGGCTGTAAATCACCCTGAGAGAACCCTGCTTCCACCCCTGAATACCAAGTTTGCAGTGATCATCAAGGGTAGGGGCTGAGAAGTCTGAAACGCAGGGCTTGTGGGCTGGAGTAAAAAGGGTGTCAGGCTTGACTTTTCAGTCTCCAGCTGCCTATGTCTATTGCTCTGCCGCAGGTCTACCAGTCACACGATCTCGGATGTCTGCTTCCTCTGAACCACTGTTTTTTCATCCGTCTACGGAGAACAGTTACACTTCTAAGAATCGCTGCGAAGACTAAAAGAAAATGAGTAAGTGCTTGACTACCAGCAGGTGCTCAGTAAGTGAGAACTCCCTCCCGGCACTAGTAGCTCAGGTCCCAACATTTAGCACTTGGAACACAGCTCCATCTGTAACAGTCATTCCGTCCTCTACCTTGTCCCTAGGGGGAAAGTGTGACACAGCAGTTAAGTGCTCAGCGTTGAAAGAGACCTCACAGCTGGGTTCAATTCCCAGTTCCTCTCCTCCATGGCCGTGTGGATTTAGGCTGAGTTAAACGTCCCTGTGACTACACCTGCCAAGTAGAAATGAGGATGACAACAGTCCTTTTCTCACAGGGTCTTGAGAAAATGTAAAAAGAAGGAGTGAACTGTCTAGGGCATAAGAAATGTGGGATAAATGCTACTTTATCTAGGCTCTTCCTAGGTTGGGGTTGCGGGGTGGGAATGGGGGGTGGCAGCCCATACTTCTCCTAAGCACCATTCGCTCACTTCTGGGAGTGTGTCCATGTTGTCAAATACCCAACATAGTAAGGAAGAAAGAAAAAAGTTAGCCAAGGACCCAGATCCCAGAGACCCTCCTCTGAATCAGCCAACTGGCTGCTTCCCTTCACTCCTTCAGGTCTGCACTCAAAAGTAATGCAGACATCCCAAGCAGCTGTTTAAAAGTTCAGATCCCACCACCAGCACGCACACACACCCACTGCATCTCCCTCCCTGTGCTTTATTCTCATCCTAACACCTGTCTTCATGTGACTCACCCCTTAAAATTTGTTGATGTGTCTGCCTCCTCTCACCAGAATGCCTGCTCCTGGGAGGCGGGCATCTAAGTCGTTGGATTGCTAAACCCACAGCCCCTAGGAGGCAACAGGGTGGAGGGGCCGCGGGGGGGCAGCAGCGGGTACCAATTCACTGAATGAATGAGTTAGTGTCTGAGCGAATGAATGAAGCGGAGCCACAGTAGGGACAACGCAAGGGGGCTGATTATCTCGGATCATACTCTCACCTCTCCCACTCCCCTAACCCTGCGATGCTTCCTCTTTCAGGGGCCAGCCAAGTTGCACATCCCATTAAATCCGGGTCCTGATTCCAAGCAACCCCCTATTCAGAGGTAAGTCACCCCATCCCACTTTAGAAACCGAGGAGTGAATAGCAGGGAGAATAATCCCAGCGGGATTAGTCCTCCAGGTGGGTGACGGGGGATCCCCACGCCCGGCCCTGAGCCCTGAGCCCCGCCCCCGCCACGGGCCCGCCCCGGGCGCGGCTGGGGGCGCGGCCGGCCTCCCGCCGCGGCGTCGGGGCTGCGCGGGCCTTGGCTGGACCCGCATTGCCCCCTAGTGCCGCGCGGAGTCAGGGCGCCGGGCTCCCCCGCCTGATGTCACCGCCGTGCAGTCAGCCCAGAGGCGGCTCATTGACAGCAGACCCTCCTCGGCGCTCGCTGGGCGGAGGAGGCGCCGCGGTGCAGAGCCGCCGCGGGCCGGGCGCTGCCGCGCGCCCCTGCCCTGCCGCCCGCTCCCGCCAGCGCTCGCCCGCCGGCCCGGCGCGCCTGACGTGGACCATTAAACTTGGAGCTGCCGCCTCGTCCCCTCTCTCCTCCTCTTCTCCTCCTCCTCCGGCAGGCGAGCGAGCGGCTCAGTGCAGGCAGGGGACGTGCCGCCGCCGGGCTGCACTGCCCGGGGACATGACTTCTCACCAGGAGGGCGCCTCTGGGAAGAAGACCACGGGCAGAGCAAAGTTTCAGGGCAGCTGAGGAGCCTTCGCCGCAGCCCTTCCGAGCCCAATCACCCCCCTGGCTATGGAGGGCGGACTCTAAAATGAATCCCGACCTGGACACCGGCCACAACACATCAGCACCTGCCCACTGGGGAGAGTTGAAAAATGCCAACTTCACTGGTCCCAACCAGACCTCTAGCAACTCCTCTCTGCCCCAGCTGGACGTCACCAGGGCCATCTCCGTGGGCCTGGTGCTGGGCGCCTTCATCCTCTTCGCCATCGTGGGCAACATCCTTGTCATTCTGTCTGTGGCCTGCAATCGGCACCTGCGCACGCCCACCAACTACTTCATCGTCAACCTGGCCATCGCGGACCTGCTGCTGAGCTTCACCGTCCTGCCCTTCTCCGCTGCCCTGGAGGTGCTTGGCTACTGGGTGCTGGGGCGCATCTTCTGCGACATCTGGGCGGCCGTGGACGTCCTGTGCTGCACCGCATCCATCCTGAGCCTGTGTGCCATCTCCATCGATCGCTACATCGGAGTGCGCTACTCTCTCCAGTACCCCGCGCTGGTCACCCGGAGGAAGGCCATCTTGGCGCTCCTCAGTGTCTGGGTGTTGTCCACGGTCATCTCCATTGGGCCTCTGCTTGGCTGGAAGGAGCCGGCACCCAATGATGACAAGGAATGTGGGGTCACCGAAGAACCATTCTATGCCTTCTTCTCCTCTCTGGGCTCCTTCTACATCCCGCTGGCCGTCATTCTGGTCATGTACTGCCGCGTCTACATCGTGGCCAAGAGGACCACCAAGAACCTGGAGGCGGGAGTCATGAAAGAGATGTCCAATTCGAAGGAGCTGACCCTGAGGATCCACTCCAAGAACTTTCATGAGGACACCCTCAGCAGTACCAAGGCCAAGGGCCACAACCCCAGGAGTTCCATAGCTGTCAAACTTTTTAAGTTCTCCAGGGAAAAGAAAGCAGCCAAGACCTTGGGCATCGTGGTCGGTATGTTCATCTTGTGCTGGCTTCCCTTCTTCATCACCCTCCCACTCGGTAAGTTGGAGACTGGCAGAGGGCAAGTGGGCATCCTTGGAGCTCAGGTTTCCTGATGAGCTTGCTCTGGAGTTGTTGCTGTTGTTGTTGTTGAGGGTTTTGTTTTTTTGTGCAGTCTGTGTGTGTTTGGAGATTGGATAGGGTTGTTTGTACAGCAAAGGCTTTGCAGATTAGGGAGCTGGCTCAAAACCAACTCAGGTGTTAGTGGAACACACTAAGGTCCCTAGCCACTTGAAATAGAAACACGGGAGGAAAATCTTGTATATGGAATGACTCACTCAACAGCCTTGGTTTAAAAATTTAAAAGGACAGTGGGCTTGAGCACCACACCAGCATTGTTATTTCGGTAGTAGGGATGTGTCGGCTAAGGCAGCATCACTAATGCAGCATACAGAATAGTTGTAGTTACTGCAGACGCGGCATTCGGGAGGCAGAGAGGCAGCTCATACACAGGCAGGCAGCGTTCATTCAGCAGTTCCAGGGCTCTTGCAGAGACCACACTCTTGAAGAGCTTTGCAGAGTCTGCACTGCAACCCCCATCCCGCCCTTCACCGCTGGCTACCACCTCCATGCACTGCCTTCGTTGTCACTTAACAACAGGGTTTCACAGCCACCGGGCTCCAGCCAGCCTATGACTTAGCCGAAGCTTCAGATTCTAGGGGAAAAATGACCAGAGGGTCACACACTCTCACGTTTCGCCCCAAAATGTTCCTAACGCTGGTGAGTTGTGGAATGCCTAGAATGAAATTATAGCTGTCGTTCAACCTTCAGCTGCCAGACACCAGGAACTCAGTACTTTCTTCCCTTTTTATAAAAACGTGTCCATCCTTATTTTGTTGGGTGGTTCTACCAACTGCATAGCTCAGAGGCTACCTAGTTTCTTCTAAGGGAGAACCCAAGGTCTGGTTGGGAGGTAAAGGCAGGAACTGGGACCTGCTGTCCACATGGCCTGGGAGACCCTTGTCCCATCTGAGAGGTAGCACTGATGAGCTTTTGTTTCTTCTCATTTCCCTGGGGAACGCTGCACACAATGAATGAATGGAGGTAGGCAATCATGGCATGATCATGTGCCAGCATAATGGGAAAGGTAACAGCTGCTGCATACATGGACCACATACACCAGCAAGCCCACCAGGGCCTCAGCTGGAACTGAGTATAACCCAAACCCTCCAGCAACTCAAATTCTGAAGGTGCACTGCTTTCAAGAGAAAAAAAGTGAATGGGAAGAAAGCAAACTGATATCAAGAATTCTGTTAAAAATAAAAGATAAAGGGAAAAAAGCCTATTTAACCTGCTGTCCATGTCCTCTTTTCTAAGGCGTGCTTTGTAAGCTAATGCCTTTCAGAAATATTTTCAGTGTAAGTGTTAAGTGGAAAGGGTTTGAGGTTCAACCCCCAGGAGTGATCGCAGCCCACTGCAGACAATCTTGCTTTGCTTTCCCAGTGCCTCAAGGTCCTGTTGCAGTCTCATCAGGTTAACAGTGGATGACGGCTCACACTGCATTGGGCCATCATGGTTGTACGTGGAGGTGACTTGATCTCCCACTAGGCACATGACCTTGGGCAAGTGACTGCTCTTGTGTGAGCTTCGGTTTCTTCATCGACAATAGGGTGCTAACTGGTATTCGCTCCATAAGGTTCACACTACCGTGTGGAGAAGACTTACCAGATACTGGCATACTGCAAGTGCTCATGAAAATTAGCTATCAGAACTACTAAAGCAGACTGCAGTCTCCCCCTCAGTTGTACCTGTGTGTCTACTCCCTCACTTGCCAATCCACACGTTTTTAAAAGGTCAGAGGAGAACTGGGTCCTTCCCCTTTATTCTTTCTGCCCATGCTCTGCAGAGGCTGTGACCAGAGCATGCATGGCAGGGAGAAGGGCCCAGCATGATGCAGGAGTGGATCAAAGGTTCAGGCTTTGGCAGGGGCCAGGACAACCCACTCCAAACAGGTGAGGAGACTTCCAGCATGTTGAAATGGAAAGAGCACTGCTCTGATGGGCAGCAGCTTTGCCACAGGTGGAGCTCTGTAACTTTAGGCTTGTTGCTTTACCTCTTTGGGCTTCAGATCTCGTGCCTGGAGTACAACAGAAGGTTGAACTAAAGTGATGTCAGTCTTTATTATCAGAATTACCTGATAAAAAAGCGTAGCCACCTGGGTCCAACCCTCAGAAAATCAAATCGGTAAGAAGCATCCCAAGAATCTGCCTGCTAAATCAGCCCACTGGGGGATTTCAAAGAGGTGGTCCACAGACCAGGCCTTGAGAATCACTTTCCAGAAGAACTCTCAGCTCCTTTCAGGCTCCAACACCCTAGAGACCAAAGTTTCAAACACTGCCAGGCTTGGAGCTTTCCTAGTCATGAGGTGGTTTGGGGATGATATGGCTTCTCTCTGGGTCCTGCCATTCAAGTCAAGCCCACCCTGAGTTTCTTCTCACACTCTCCCCACTGTCTCTCTCCTTCCCATCTGTGCCCTGCTGAGACCTTGTCCCTCTTGCGTCTCAGGTTCTTGGCCTCTCCGCAACAGGAAGTAGCGGTTCTTGCCTCTCTGATGCTCTCAGGGCTTGTTCCTCTCCTTGCAATGACTCTCTGGCTATCCCAGTCATGATGTCTTGGTGATCTCCCAGTGTGCCATCCTGGAACCGAGTCCATCACTATCCCACTTCCCTGGACCCCAAGAGGTGTGGTTGAGGACTCCCCACCATGAGTTGGGAACTATCCTGAGTTTGGGATAGATCCAAAGGTAATCAAAAGCTTCAAACAAAGAAAGTGCTCAATGAATGTTTTCTTAATCATTTAGGAAAAACAGTCCAGCAAAATGGAGGTGCGGGTTCCTACTCCCTCTGAGTTGAAATAACACCTAAATGAAAGTAGCATCATGTAGAACAATAACTCCTTTGGAATCTGAAGAAGGTTCCAAATTCTAAATTTTCCATGAGGAGCTTCTCACTCATAAAGAGAGAATCAGCTCTGGAGGGGAGATGGTGGTTGGCAAGCAGAAGTGCAGGTAGGAGTCACTTCCAAATGGCTATAGACTTTCAGGGGCCTGGATGGCAGCACATTTCCATAGCCATGTTTGTTTTCTCCATGGGAGAGAAGGGTTGGGATTCCTTCTGGGAAGGAGAAAAATAGCCATGCCCCCTATGGGATCCTGCCCAGGGGCCCCATTTGTTTTCGCTCTGCCCTGTTTTTTATTTTTGGGAGCAGGGCTGGGCTGCATGCAGAGCAGGGCCTCTCATCTCCTGCTGTGCCCTTCCTACCTGTAACGCCCTCCCCACCGCCTCCTCTCCCTGTGGCCTCAAACCAAGTTGGATCTGGGACCAGTGCTCACTTAATCAGGAGCAGGGATGCACTCCACCAAACAATGACCTCTTTATTTGGCCCCTGGAATCAGGCCAAGGGAGGACAGGAAATAATTGGAATAGAATATAGCAGTACTTCTTGTCCATGGGCTGCACGCAAGATGTCCAAGAGAATCTTCAGCTGCCCAGCATTATAATGAAGATCAACAGCCACCCGCCTAGGGCCTGGTCAGGGAATGTCTGGGCTATTGAGGAGTGCATTGCAGTGGAGTGAGAGAGACCGAGGTGGGGGGTGTTGCAGGAAGTGCTGAGCAAGCCAACTAGTAGCTGGGCTTAGTGAGTTGTTTAGAAAATACTGGAACCTTGCCTCGCTCCAAATCTTTCTTCCATCTTTTACAATGCTGAAAGGCACCAGGAAGCCATTATTGAACTAACTGCTTTCCCCTCCAAATAAATGAAGGTCAATTTCAAAGAAACAGTTGTGCTCTCTATAGTCCTGGATCCAAACAGGAATCCTCTCCATGGATTTGATTCTCCAGACCTCTCATTCAAATGGGTGCTGATGATTTTCCATCCCCAATAAGCACAAGAGAGGATGGGGGTCTCCGAGATGACCCAGGACAGAGCCAGTCTTACAAATGCATAAGAAATCCTCCAGCTTGGAGGCGTCAAGGCATAGAGATCATAACTTCTCACAGGAACACTTTTGGTTTGAGTACTTGGTGAGGGGGAAAGTTTTACACATAGGGAATCCTTCCTGGAAGAGGAAAATCCTACTGAGCTGAAGTGCTTTTGATCATTTATTGCGTTAACAAAGACTCCCTGAAGTATCTGAACCAAAGCACAGCCCCTTCCTGCATGAGGTGCATGGCCTAGTAAGATTGCTTGGTTATTGGACACATACATACACATAGCAGACCTTTTGCTAGGGTTCCCAATGAAAGTGTCTCATCAATCCTCCCTCTTTGTAGATGAATACATTGTAGCTCAAGAATGGTGGATTTCTTGCCCAAAATCACACAGCAAGGAAGTGATAGGGCCAGGACTTGAATCCACATCTGTCACAGACCCCTACCTGTTCTATGGCACCGAGGAGATGCCTGGCCTTTTTGTTCCCTGGTAGCAACCTGTTCTTATAGAAGATGTTCCCCAGGAAACTGGGAGCCACCCAGTTAGAAGCTACTGATGATACTTCTCTTATAAAATTCTGCCCACTCCTGAGAAATGAACCCAGGAAATGTCAGGGCAAGCCATCCATGTTCCACCTGAGAGCTAAATTTCTCTCCACCTCCTGCACCACACATAATTAGGGTCTCTCAAAGCTGGGCCCTTGATCAATCAACCCAGCCAGAAGGAGAAAGTAGGGGGTCCGGGGTCCTTGTAATTCATTCCTTCACTGAATAGATATGTATTTATTGAGTGGCTACTCTGTCTAGGCATTATTCTGGAGATAGTTGTGCTCCATAGTATTTAGTTCTGCAGGACACAGGCACACAAATAGACAAGAAAAACAGTGATATGCTAACAGAATTGTATAACAGAATTGGTATACCATGAGGGCCATGAGTGATGTTTAGGCCAAATCCTGAACTGTTTGAAAGAGCTAATTCAGTAATGGGGGAAGTAGCAAAAGAGGGATGTAGGCAGAAGGAAATCACACATGAAAGCCCTGAGACAGGAATATTCCTGAGACAGGAA